AGCCGCCATCTTTCCAATATGGCCGCCAACTTTGATTTTTCTTACGGAATTCCCTGTATTGTATGATGTATTCTGGTAGAAAAATTATTTTTAAGACGATTTTATTCTTGTGATTTTTTTCATAAACCTAACCGTTTTAAAGATAATAATGGTTAAAGTTTTGAAATTTCTGCATGAGAAAGAGTTTCGAAGCAAGTATGCCAGCTGTTTCGCTCGAAAACCATTCAAAATTTCACAACTTAAACCATTATTATCTTTGAAACGGTTAGGTTTATGAAAAAGATCACAAGAATAAAATTGTCTTAAAATTACCTTTTCTACCAGAATACATCATAAAATACATGGTGTTCCTTAAGAAAAATCAAAGTTGGCGGCCATATTGGAAAAATGGCGGCTAAAATAATTTGTTTGACTTGACTATAATTTTTTTAATAAAAAATCCAAGGCACTTACCATTTAACTTTTTTTGATATCTCTTATAGTTTTCGAATAAAACGGCTGGCACACTTATATCAATCACCCTGTATGTTAATGAACATATTATCACTTTCAAGTAAGAACGAAAATATAGTATTAATTACTGTGAATAATAAAAGCTAGTGGCATTTTTAAAACCATTAAATTTAGACCTTGATTGACTGTTGCGTTACCATTCTGGTCTTAGATATCATAAGTGATGAAATTTAGTATTATTTAATTCAAGGAAATAACTAAAATCACATTAGCACGTGTAATAGCTATTTACATTACAAGTGTAGTAAGAGCGTTTTTACATCACGCAGGTGAACGGTGTGCAACGAGCGGAAGCGAGTTGCATAATTCACCTAAATGATGTAAACACGCTATTGCATTACGTGTAACGTACAATATTTTACCTGACCCGACAATATACAGGGGGTTACGTACAATACTTTTCATTACCCATTTCACTCATCTTCTAACAGTAGCGTTCTTCTACAAACAAAGGCTAGGATAGGAATATACTTTAAAGCATAAAAATAACATAAGGATGTATAGTTAATGGTTGAACGTCGTTGGCTCCATAGAGGTATATTTTTAAGTTAAGCACTAAATGTTATTTAAATAGGTTTCATTACATCACCGAGTGAGTTTTTTCAACTTAACATCACTCGTGAAGTAAATACATAGTTATTTATATATATTAAATAATGAAGTTATATACATCACGCTTGGGATTTTTAACATGGCGGGTTAGGTAAAAGGAATAAACAATACTTAAACAAAACATACGCATCTTTTTTAACTTACGACTTTTGTTTACAATTGGAATTAATATGTATGATATGATGTGTTATATGATGTGTTCTTCTCAAATTTCATATCCAAAATATTAAAACATAATATGTGTTTAACACAATAACAGCACAGACTACAGACCATGGTCTATTGTCCGTGGTAATAATACAACTTAAAGTTTGATTATTTTCTGTCACCTTTATCAAGCTTCTGCCTGTCTATCGTTTGCAGTTGGACGTGACAGTTACGGAAACGTTCTCGATTCAATGTCGAGCTTGATGACGCCATTTTGAATGGGTTTGTCCATGTGTAAATTTAACAATCACAAACACTTCGACAGCGCGGCTATTGTGTTGCTTCTCTGAAAGTATTTTCGCAATACAATGCCGTAAATGATTATTAAGTTGCAAAATTCTTTCGCTTTCCAATTGTTATACAGTGTTCAACAGTATTATTTTATTGACTTTTAGTAGTTTGTTGTTGAATAAATTATCAGCTACTATTTCATTAACTCAAAAACATTTTTACCATAAGCGCCTTAGCGAGTCCATGTCAAAATCATAAAAATTTAATCCAATATAATTTAGTGGCCAAATAAATTAATTTTATATACAGTACAAGTAAGAAATTAAGATATAAGGACTCATTTAGTTGTTAATCTCTCAACTTTAATGGATTCCTTTATGTACTAACAAGAGGTTCTACCCGCGAATTCACGGGCGTACAGAAGCAACTATTAAAATTATTTTAATCAACTTTGACTTTATATTTCATTTAAAGGGCCCAAGTTCGAGGAATTCTCATCTGAAAGGATGTTAAAAGCAGTGGAATCTCCATACCTTACGTCCTAAGGTGGCCGAGGTGGGTACGGTTATACCTGAACTCGCCGCTCTCTTTCACGACGTCTTTAATACTTTTCAATGAAATGGCGACCTGTTAAAGATCGGTGACAACCTCTTGGAACGAACAGCATACATGGTTTGTTAGTCTCATATTCATCGTGTTTCGAAAACCTTTAATCACTCACTTGTATCAAACAGTTAGAAATAGCTTGACTGTTAATTCACCGCACCTGTTTTAAGGACATACAAGTAAATAATCAAATAAGTAAAAAAAAATGTAAACAAACAAACTATATTGTCAATTGCATTGGCCAGCTGTTCACTAAATTATTCGAATAGCGTTAACTTCAAAACATGCCCTTTGGAAATCAGCCTGTGGGGCAGAGCCCTTAGGGAGTTCGTCCATATCAATACTTTTCGGCAAATCTACACACTCTAAGCTTCATTTTGATATGCCATATGCCTATATTTTTATTTGGTAAATGGCCTTAACCGTTTACATAAAATTTGATTGTATCACTTTAATAATATAATAGATTGCTTGATTAATACTTTAAAAATAGAGCAAAAAAAACACTAGACTGGACATTGGGTGTATTTGGTTATTTATTTCATAGGTGATCCCATAATACGTGATTTACGAGCGTTCTAGACCTGTCTATAATACTAAAAGGTTGCAATTTACATTTTAATCGAAAATATATTTTTTTTTATTTATTAGAACAATTTTAAGATCCTTTTTTTAAATGAACATGATTGTTTGCTGTTCTGTAAGCCATCCATTATTTTGGTTTTGCTTAAGCGCAGAAATTTTAATACCCCATTTTTTACATATTACCCCAATCGTTAATAAAATAGCACTGAACGAAAACAGATTTGTATATATTATGTATCAACACAGTTTGCAAAATGTACATAAAAATACATGTCTCGAAACAACGCCTTGATGACTTTTGTTGCCAGCAACAATTCCAATCTACATATTGGATTTCTGCCAGTGTTACTCAATTTCCATCACAATAGTTCTCAAACTCATGTAACTTTAATGGCTACACGCGCATTTGAATAAAATAAAGTTTCATTATTTTAGTTTTACTACAAAATCAATTTGCTTAGTTTGAAATCTAAGGCTTGTCTGTTTTGGACTTTTCTTCCAAAAAGGACAACGATGGAAATTTTTAGATATTTTTTTATCATTACTTTACCACTTATTAACATCTGCTGGGAATTCTGTATTGAAATTGGTCAAAAATGTTCTAGTATGATAAGAGTGAATGGTGAATAATGGACTTGTAATAACAGTTTTTTATAAATTTATTATCTTGGATGGTTTTGAAATTTACAGTGGACTTTCCGATTGCAAGTGTAAAGTTAGCCTTAGCTTAGGGTAATAAATTATTTTGAACAGATTAATTTGTTTAGAAATGACGAAGTGTATTTTATCTTTACATATTGCATAAAATTCCATCCCCATGATCATATTTGAACAAATCAAACTTGGTACAAACAGTGATGTTATTCTTAAGCTTATGTGTTTTCATGCCAGAGGCATTTTCTCTTGATTCAATGAAAGTATACACACAAATTGGTTCTCTTGTTCCAAGACCACCGATATTATAAAATTCCGTATTTTGCATTTATAAAAAGAATTGTTCTTTTTAGAACTCTGAAACAACGATATCGAATAACGGTTCTAAGAAGTCTTGAAGAAATATCATAAGCTTGTAACACAGTACAAGGGAGAATAATGTCTGTTGAATTCACAAAATAAAACCATTTTATAGAGACTATTTATCTTCAAAAATAATTATTTGACTAAAAGTTTTATTTTTACAATACCTGTCATCGTTAAAGTAACAATCTTGTTTCATGTTTCGTTGAGATGCCATCATCAAAGTCGAAGGGGATTGATGAAAAACAAAAAATTCCGCCATTTTGTTATGGATATATATGTATACCTCTAGTCTTCACTAACAGAAGACTCGGTATTAATAATATAAGTTTTCCTTCTACAACCCATTAAAAAGTTAACACTAAATATTGTTAAATATGTTTAAATTAAGTCCTTTAGACTGATGAAAACAATTGTCACCATTCTGTAATCGGTTGAGAGAGAGAGAGAGAGAGAGAGAGAGACCTAAAGTTTTCGTCGATAATCCTTTAAACTCATGGTCTTTAAAATAAAGTGTCACTTGATGGAGCTTTACTTTAAACATCTTTGAGCTGCTCCCACAGTAAGGCATTTTTGGGTTCCGGACAACATTGGGATTCCAACCAAAAGTGTACTTTTATGCCATATATAGACGTGCCGTGCTTGGTTTTCCTGGTGTAACAAATTGAAAAGTTAATAGGTAGGGTACACACATTTTCGCAACACTGTATAATAAAGATCTGTTATGTGAAGTGGGTGGGAATTATGAAAGGCGTTTCTTGTTTATTGCAATTGACTTTTACACCTATACTAGTAAATCTGTTATACCTGGTAAACCTGGATCAATACTAAATATTGACTCACATTTGTCGGACATTCTTATGCCAATAACTTAAGGGCTACATAGCAGCTTGAATGATGTATTGTAATGTTTGTCCAGTGTAGATGCCCGATGAAGACGTTGTGGTGTCGCCCATGTAGGCCTATGCCTCATGAGGGCTACATAGCAGCTTGAATGATGTATTGTATTGTTTGTCCAGTGTAGATGCCCGATGAAGAAGTGGTGGTGTCGTCCATGTCGGGCCTGCCTATGCCTCATGAGGGCTACATAGCAGCTTGAATGATGTATTGTATTGTTTGTCCAGTGTAGATGCCCGATGATGACGTTGTGGTGTCGCCCATGTTGGGCCTGCCTATGCCTCATGAGGGCTACATAGCAGCTTGACTGATGTATTGTATTGTTTGTGTAGTGTAGATGCCCGATGAAGACGTGGTGGTGTCGCCCATGTCGGGCCTGCCTATGCCTCATGAGGGCTACATAGCGGCTGCGATCACACTTTTCTTCATAGGATTCTTCGGGTTCTTCACAAACCTAATCGTGATCATTCTAATGATTCGAGAAAAACAGGTAATTTCATGGAATATTATTGTTCTTTTTATTTGCTTTGTAGCTTAATGCTTGAAAGAAATATTCTATGAATTCATAAATAATTTTTAAACATTATTCAGTCTTTTAAATAAAATAATATATATATAAGTAGATGCGATGTATAATTTTATTTGAAAAACATGCTTGGTAAGTTTTATACAATGGCTTTAAATACAAAAAGTTTTAGATTATGGGGTTTGGTATGCAGAGAGGTTATGTGATAGACGTGATCACCTACAATGCAATATTTGAATATAAATAGTCGTGTTTATGTACAAAAGTTGATTTTCAACACATTTTATAGTTCGGTTCCCAATGCTGATTAGTTTTAGCCATAGTAGATTTCAAATGTTTTATGATTTCGAATGGTGTGACTAAGAAACTTGTTCCCACCTGGCAAAGGGTTTTTGCCAACTTCCCTCCTCAGGATGTTTTTAAAGTAGATTGAAATGGTATTTGATTAGGTCGTACAGTACTATTTTTACTATTCAGTGATGATTTCTTGAATGCATTATCCTCATAAGGTTCTTAATAAAGTTTGTAATAACAAACTTTTGTTTCCAATTGCTCCAGTTATGGACACCCTTGAACGTTATCCTGTTCAACCTGGTGCTGTCCGACTTCTCGGTGTCTATCCTCGGTAACCCATGGACCCTGGCGTCTGCTGTGGCACGACGCTGGCTGTTCGGCAGACTCATGTGTGCAGTGTATGGCTTCTTCATGTCACTCCTAGGTATGTAAATGTATCATGGATTGTATTGAGAAGCGCTCAAGAATAAAGGCATTTTGATTTGATTTGATGAGGTATATAGACTGTGGTTATAGACTTTGATACTAGGAGGTTACCGGTTTGTTCAAACTCTTCTGTAAAGCAACGAATAAGGTATTAATTAGCCGGTTTCAGTGAAAATCACCTGTCTTCATCCAATTATTACTTTTCAACCGACAATCACAACAATGTACATATTTTGATCTGCCTTTACAAAATAGACTGAATACAAATTTTAACTAATCGTTATGGCATGTAAATGCATGTGGTCATGGAAAGACATGAAACATGTCTTGAAACATATGCTATCGAATCTATCCAAGCAGTAGTACAAAACTTGCTATAATAATTTTAAATGACCGTAAACATTTGTTAGATGAAACTATCGTACACCTAACTTACACGCTGGATAGTTTTTTTTGTTTTTTAATGAACGTTGAACTAGTTTGTTATTGATTGTGTTCAAAAGAAATATAATGTAAACAATTTTACTAATAAAACCAGTTTTCTTCTTCATTTTACTGTATACGAATCATAAAGTATCGTAATAGATTGAGAAGGGAAAAATATCAAGTTCAAGAATTTTAACCACATGAACTTCAATCGTTGATTACATTCAAATAAGTGTAATTAGTTGTAAAGCTTTTTATTCTAAAATTTTAACATGTCCTAAAAACGCCACAATTCAGTTTACCACACATTTAGAATGAATGTAAGGAACTATGCAAGTTATTTGGAGGCTAAAAACTCATGCATACAATAGTGCAAAGTTTCAATTTTAGGAATGTTCGTTGCATCTTATTGTATATTTTACAATATTTATTGCCAAAAATGTATTCACCTAGACATCGACCTTTGTATTTATACAACGTAGTATTCGCTGGAACGGTTTCATGCACAGAAACAAAAGTTGTACGGCACAAGGTTAAAACCTTGTGCACACAATTTCATTGTGTTGAACTAAACCAAAACAAAGTTCCAAATGCAAAGCTGCCATTTTAAGTGCCTAAACTTCGTTGCAGGCATCAGCTCAATAACAACGTTGACAGTTTTGTCCTTCGAGAGGTATGTAATCATCAGTCGACCGTTCAGATCTCGTCATCTAACACACAGAGGGGCTGCCTACCTCATACTAGGGATCTGGGGGTACTCCCTCGTCCTCACTACACCACCACTCTTCGGCTGGGGCGCCTACGTCCACGAGGCGGCTAACATCAGGTAATTTCAATCATTTTTGTCCCACTTGTACATCCTAGAATGCTAGGCTTACAGAACCGTTTTGCAAGTTAGGCTATGCCTAGAGCTGCGGATTTACATCATTTAGCCCAAGCAAATAAGGAAAAATAGAGGAACAAATCTATGTATTCCCAATTTTTTCAAAAATGTCTCGGGGAGGGTCCCCTTATGAATATATGATAGGTGAGAATAAAATCACCCTGCCGCTCTCTGGTGGTGGGAGGTGTAAATGCCCCAATTTGCGGTTTTTTGCTTATAACTTGAAAACGGCGTGTCGTAGCTTAGATTGTTTAAAGTAAAAGTTAAAGCTTTTTAAATTTGCTACAACTTTGATCATATACATTATTAGTGAAAGACGCATAGTTTCTGAGATATCCGGGCTTTAAAAAAAAATAATGTAAAAAAATGTCATCTCACATTTTTTGTAAAATCTCTTTTGTTTCACCTTCTCTGTTATGAGTGTAGGAGTTTTGCCAACGGGTATCAGGTAGAAAGGGTCCCCATCCATGAATTCCACATACTGCGGAGTTTTGCCAACGGTTGTGGGTTGTGCGAGAGCGGGAGGGGGAGAGAGAGAGATTACACGTGACCGTGAGGGTGGCTTCCGCTAAAGGTGGACAAACCAGGCAGGATGCTGACTGTGTTCAAAGTAATGGAGTTATTTGCACCTCTGACTGTGAAAGGAAATGTATTGAATTTTTAACCTAACCTAACCTAACCTAACCTAACCTAACCTAACCTAACCTAACCTAACCTAACCTAACCTAACCTAACCTAACCTAACCTAACCTAACCTAACCCAACCCACTGCGACAAGCGCATAACTGCCAAGCGTAGACAACCCTGACAATCGCTCTACCTCCCTCCGTCACACTCTTTCTCCCACCACCACCGTTGGCAAATCTCCGCACCAAGAGGTGGCCGAAGGCATCCCCCCCATCTACCTGACACCCGTTGGCAAAACTCCGGTTCCCCTCTGTTATTCCTTTATAAAGGACCTTGTTACCTTGTTATAAATACTATTGAAGTACATTTAATTTCTACAACCTTCTTTCCGTCAATATTTCTGAAAAATAACAGAGAAGGTGAAACAAAAGAGATTTTACAAAAAATGTGAGATGACATTTTTTTTACATTATTTTTTTTTAAGCCCGGATATCTCAGAAACTATGCGTCTTTCACTAATAATGTATATGATCAAAGTTGTAGCAAATTTAATAAGCTTTAACCTTTACTTTAAACAATTTAAGCTACGACACCCCGTTTTCAAGTTATAAGCAAAAAACCGCAAATTGGGGCATTTACACCTCCCACCACCAGAGAGCGGCAGGGTGATTTTATTCTCACCTATCATATATTCATTAGGGGACCCTCCCCGACACATTTTAAAAAAAATTGGGAATACATAGATTTGTTCCTCTATTTTTCCTTATTTGGACTTATTTGCTTGAACTACATTGGCAATGTGGAGGGTGGGAGTTGAATCCGGAACCACGGAGACCAAAATCCCGTGCTCTAGCTCGCTCCCGTCCAACAGCAGGTGTTAGCACTGAAATACTCTCATATGGCAAAATTAGCATACCTATCCAAGTATGAGTAACAAGACATAATCTTTGAATTTCGAAACCTAAACATGGTAAAATACTAAAAACTACAATATGAGGTTTTACTTTAAAGTACTTTTATACTTTACTGGAAGTGACAACATTTCTGTTAATGCCAATTATTGTTATCACATAGTGACCTCGGACATGTAAAAAGCACAATAGGCCTACAAAAAAAATACGAATTACAATAATATTATATAGTATTTTGTAATAGTTAATTATGTGTACAAAGCTACAGAACCACACCTGGGATCCGATTTTGATTAAATTCTGTATTTATTGGTATAAATAAATGTTATATCCAGGCCTTTTTCCTGTTTTTGAAATTTAATTCTAATTTTACCATAAAACCCCATAAAATAATGGAAAATCGTATTTTCCATAGAAAAATAGTACAACCCACGATGCTACTTTCTATTACAGTCTTGTATTTAACTCTCCTAAGTTATGCTAGCTCATTTCATATAAAAGGAGCAGTCCTATCTCTAAACAAACTTGACTTAAGGTCCCGTGACCTTAATACTCCAGTTGTTTGTTCAATACGAGGGGAGCAGTTTCAGTTGGTGCTACGAGCAGATTAGCGTTCCTTGCACCTGTCGCGTACAAATAATCAGTTTAACGGTTTTAAAGCACGTGTTTTCCTGCAAAAACCTATTTAGTTATTTTTGCACTTACAGTTGCGAATGTATCCAATGGTCCTTGGATGGATGGATTTTCTTGCAATAAATGCAAGACTTGTAACCTATGTTTTACTTGTAAACTATTCTATACATGTATACAAAGATACACACATAGAAACTTACGATCATTGTCTCGTAAGTAAACAGTCAAACTCCGGAAAATGGTTCAATTGTTAAAAATAAAGAATGCGATTCTTTGCAAAATCACTTCACTAACCAGATACCCACCATTTTGTATCCTTTACGTGCACATTTTTAAACATTCGATTGTTTCAATCATCTTTATTAGACTTATGATTAAAGTTAAAATGATGAACTCTAACTTGATAGAAGAAGTACAAAATGGCGGATCTCTGGTTAACCTCTTTGTTAAATTTGGGAAAAAAATTATTCCAAGTTTTTTCATAATTTTGAACAATGGAATCAATTCGGAGTTTGGCTTGTTAATTTCAGGACACCAATTTAAAACATTTTCTAACCAAATGTTTCAATACAGTTGCAGCGTTAACTGGGAGACTAGGTCGTACAATGCGACGACCTACATCGTATTTCTGTTTGCCTTGGGGCTGGTCGTGCCCGTGGTCGTCATCTGCTTTTCCTACATCAACATCATCAGAACCATGAGAAAGGTATTGTTCAACAATGAATGTGCATATTGCAAATGAATAAATGATATTAATAGTTCAACTTACACGGGGTGTCCAAAAGAACTTTGGGGTGAAAGGAGCATCCTGACATACTTAGCCAGATTTCACTTTATTTTGCAACTAATTTTGTAACTAATTTTACCTGGTGTAATTTGAAAGGAAATTTTAAATGTAAAATAAAACGGTCTCATTTATTTCATGTTAGCTTAAAGCCAAAAAAATCAAAAGCCATTTTGAAATTGTTAACATAAAATACATATCATATTCAATAATGATCGGTTGAAAAAATAACAAAATTGTTTATGTGTAAGCAAGAAAATGGTTGATATCTGGGTAAAAATTCATTTTCAGACATACCTTCAAATGTCTTTTTTTATTACTTTTTGTATAAGAAATCATAACTTGAAGTTCAGAAACGTTTTTTGGACACCCTGTATAGCATGAAGTTTGCTGTAGATACATACATCAACATCAACATACATCACGTTTAAGTGGACTTGAAAGGGGTCCATTTTTTAGATTGTGAAAGAATAATAGTTATGGAGTATATTGGGGTATATTGTTTTTTGGCTATTACGTTTTTCCTTAATATACCTATGTGAAAAAATAAATAGTCGGAATCATTCCCTGTTTTTAAATTTTGGTTCAAAATATTGTGAATCCTTCGTTAATGGGTCCTTCTTCCTTTGTTGGAAATCTTAAATACATTTTCATTTCCATATTTCCTTATTTACTTGTATGTTACTTGTTTGATGAATCACCTTGCAAACACATAAATCTATTTCCCACGAAATCCACAAAGTCAGATGCTCAAACGAGTTTAGCTCATCAACCAAGGATTCAAAAGCTAAGAGCTGCTAAAAGCAAATTAATCCCTCAATTAATTTGCGCTTTTACGGCGCCATACATGTTATTACCTCACCAAATGGTCAAATGTAAATGTTGTGTACCTTTTAACATGTTCTGTTTATCAAAGTGAATACTTAACTCACTATCGACATCAATTTTATATCGAGCATTGATTAATTGCACTTAACCAGAACAAAAACTCTACAGTTGTGAATTAACTAAAGCGATTTAGTAAAAAAATAACCATTTTGTGTTTGCAGCACGTGATCGCACACTTATGTTCTAATTTTAGCTTTTAAATTTAACTAATGTAACATGTAAGCTTTACATTAAATTTTTTATGTAATTTTTAGGTTATTTGTTATTGGAACCAAACGTGGATTGAAATACATCTTAAATTTTGTATTTTGTAAAATATCTTTTACCTCAGCATACAAAGAAAGTAATAATAATTAACATTTAATATTTTATGTTTTATGAAACAAGGCCCCGGTGCTAATTTAGCCGTGTTACCCATAAGCTCAAATTTATTTTGATATACTAAATGGAATACGAAGGATATAGATTCATTAGCATGGTCATTAAATTATTTTAATGCGTTTGATTCAATATAGTTGCATAAAAAATCACCTTTTATAATTAAATTTAAATCATGCATATAAAAAAAAAAAAAAACACACACACAAACATATAGCGATCGGTATTATTTGAATGTAAGTTCAAATCATTTGCCCTATATTATCACCATGAACGCATTAATCTTTGAATTGATCAAGCATTAAGTCAATCTATCACTTTATTTCCGCTCGAGCGTAGAACAGCTTGTGGCAGATTTAACTCTAAAGCTACGCTCGCACTACGGCGGCACGGCACGGACGGGCGGTACGGCACGGACGGCATTTTTAAGAGGGGGTGCGCGCACTAGGGCGGCACGGCACGGACGGACGGGACGGGACATCCGCACATCCGCAATTTAGGACAGTTGACAGTCTGCGAGTTAAAAATTGTGAGTAAAAATGGATGTAGATAGAGTGGTGATAGTAGGTTTAATTTTGGCAGAGGAAGAGGAGACAAGAAGGTGCAAGCAAAGATTTTAGATACACCACATAAACAGGAAAAGACTAAGTTTTGGAGAGTTCCACACCTTGTTTCCTGATATTGTAGAAGGATTGTGTGTAAAACTTACCTGATTGTTTCATAATAGATCATATTTCTGCTCATATATTGTCACGCCGGACGTTATTAAAATATTCCGGATGTCGCATGGTGTACAGTTTCGGGTATTTCTCAAAGAGAAAAATCAAACTTACTAACATCTATGTTTACAACACAAGAAAACACTGCTACTTTGACAGAGATCAGTTGAGAATGGCGGATGTCCCGTGCCGCCCGCCCGGTCGGTGTGCAGTGTTCCGGTCGGTACGGGCGGTACGGGCGTCACGGCAGCTCGGAAATGTCCTGGAGTTCTGTCTCCCGGACTTTTTAACAAACGGCGGAAGCTGCCGAACGTCCGTTGCCGGCCGTACCGCCGTAGTGGGCGCACTCATATGACATTCAATGTTATTAACTTTTAAAAATTGCCGTGCCGCCCGCCCGTCTGTGCCGTGCCGCCGTAGTGCGCGCGCAGCTTAACCGTAGCGGAAGTAAGTCTATACGGCTCGGTGGCCGAGTGGTTTTAGTAATCAGCTAATGCTTACAAGTTTGCAGTAAACCCCTGGCAAAAGTTAATAGCTTTTTTGATGGTTCAAAACTGTTCCCTGCTAACCTTGATATTTGCGCTTTGAATGAATGGACATCTATTAGCTGAACCTTATAATTTGGATAGTATCTTTTGCTAAATTTAAGGTCTTTTTAATCAAACTCGTCGTAGTTGATGTGAGCCACCGACATATTGCGCTTTGTCAGTATTTATCTTAATTAGTGATTTGGGTTATCTCGATGTATGTGAAGAACTCCAACGTATTAAACCCATAAGTATTAAATTGGTATAAATTAATTTTTGGCTAATTTAGTATATTTTCAAAACATTAACAAAATGTAAATTTGATTTCCAAGATTTAAAGCTGTAAACTATACCTTTACTATTATAAAATTGAGGTGGTGTCTGTCAGTCTGTGTGTCTGTCTGTGCTGCTATCACGACTAAAATACTAAACCGATACACCAAAAATTAAACACAAAGATTGCCTTCATATCTAGGAATGTCTTAAGCCCATTCGCTTCCCTGAGTTCATCTCGGGCTACACCCCTTGGATGTCCAAAGTTTTTAAGTGAGTTTAAGTTTTCAAAAGTAAAATATTAATTAATTGGTCTCCATGGAAGCATGAGAAAATTCACAATGTTTACCTTTGCATTGACATTTCAATGTAAACAATCAGAACTGTCAAATGCTTATTTCACATTTTCAGACAGCTGACCCAAAGAATTTAAATATAATATTTTACCTAACCCGCCATGTTAAACTTCCCTATCCCATGCATGATGTATACAACTTCCTTACTTCTCGAGTGATGTAAAGTATCAAAAACTCACTCGGTGATGTAAAGAAACCCATTTAAATAACATTGAGTGCTTAACTTAAAAAATATACCTCTATGGAGCCAACGACGTACAACGCTAGAAATCAGCTGTGCGCTTGAATGTTATTGTTATGCTTTAAAGTATTTTCCTAACCTAGCTTTTGTTTGTAAAAGAACGTTACTGTTACTGTTAGAAGATGAATGAAATGGATAATGAAAAATATTGTACGTAACCCCATGTAAATTGTCGGGTCAGGTAAAATATTGTACGTTACACGTTACGCAAGAGCGTGTTTACATCACTTAAGTGAATTATGCAACTCGCTTCCGCTCGTTGCACAACATTCACCTGCGTGATGTAAAAACGCTCTTACTACACTTGTAATGTAAATAGCTATTACACAACTCTATGAGGTAGGTTTATTTAGTATAACACTTTGACATTGATTATTTATTCTAAAAAGGTTCTATAACCCTTTACTTGCTGTATTAACCCAGAGATACTATTAACTAGGCTATCAAGATATGTTATGATATAAAGGGGACACCCGTTCTTCGAAACTGAATTTTCTTTCCGCTGCGAAGCACGGGTACAGCAGATAATAATTAATATTACCTACTTATTAATCAAACATTTAACTACTACATCTACTACTAATTTAAAAGGGTATTCCGGGTTTCTGGTAAGCAAACTACCTAATGTTACCACTGAAACAGCCAAACTCTAGAAAATGGTCCAATGGGTCATTATAAAAAGAAAATCTGGAAAGAAGTATAAAAAAAAGTTTCGTTAACCAGGTATCCACCGTTTTTAGTGCAGTCAATGAACATTTTCCTGTGCATTTATCCCATACAGTAATGGTTTTCAAAAAAAAATTTAATAAGCAACTTTTCCTACAGTTACCTAACAATGTACATGTTCTCTCACTGATTTGAGAAAGCAAAGTGGCCAATTCGCTCATCATTGAGACAATGTTAACATTGTCTCACTCTAATTACTTTGTCTCACTCCAGATTTGCAATGTGAAGGCACGAAATAGTGAGCGCGTAACATGCAGGCAACGTCGTATGCACGCGAAACACGTTGGCAGCACTGGCTGTAAATCAGCTGGTCAGCTGTTGTACTGTTGTATTTGTCACTTCACGTTAAATGTGATATTAAAAGTTCACTTCTGTGTAAAAATAGGTTATGTTTCTTCACCAATTTATTTGTTTTATGGTAACTGTAGGAAAAGTATAATGTGCAACTCGAGTTCAAAGTACAATTGCCTCACTCGAGAAACCATTCCTCACTCGCCTACGGCTCGTGAGTAAGGATTTCTCTCGAGTGAGTCAATTGCTCACTTTTCTCACTAGTTGCACAAATAACTATTGTTCTATGAGATTTTTTTCTGAAATTCAACACTTTTCGTCCTATTCACGGGTGTGGAATAAATACATAGTTTACACGTTTTCCATTCATTGGCTGCACTTTTTGTGTTTTTTTTTTTTATAAAAATTTGTATATTTGAGTTTTTGCAACGAATTCTTATGAAACATGGGATGCGTTTCAAATAAAAAGAGACCTATTAAAACACTTGTTATACTAAAGTTGTTTTGTTAACTAACTAAAGGATTAAAAACTCTGTCTTGGTTGTCCATAAAATTTAGAGATAAACGGGTCTTTACAGAACATGCTAGCCATGGGCACGGTGACCAAGGCAGAGTCCAGGGTTGCAGTCATGGTCGCTGTCATGATCATCGCCTTCTTCATCGCCTGGACGCCGTATGCGGTTCTCGCTCTGATCATACAGTTCGGGGACACACAAGTACACCCGGGCATTGCTGTGGTGCCGGCGCTGGTGGCCAAGAGCAGTATCTGCTACAACCCAATCATATATGTAGGGCTGAACACACAGGTAAGTGAGTCACTTTGGCGTATATAATTAATTTGTTTGGGGTTAATTAAGTTATTGAAGTTGCGAGTCACGCTAATAATTGTGTAAAATATTGGAAAAGGACTTGCTTGAACAGATAGATTCCTGGCTGAAGAGGACAAAAACAGCCTCAGTCCATTAGGGTTTCAGCTCACTGGACTGGAACCTCACGAAGAAGAAGAAGTGAAGAGATAAATAAGTGAAGAGATGTTGATATATCTAGGTAAAACCCAGGGTGGAAAATGGCTATTTCAGTTTAAGCTCTATACGAATATGCTCTTCTTGATGACGCTAACATCTCTGTTCACTATCACCATCGAAATACTATCCCACTTTATATGACTAAGATATCAAAATTTGACATTCCAATCTTATACCATAAAGAAATCTGTTATTATGAAAAGACCAACTAAAATATGAACTCTACCTTCATAACCTTCTTAAATATTTGTTAAAACGTTACTAGAAGAATGTATGACGATAGATTTAACACATCACACACAAAATTCATAAACCCATTGTTGAAATGTGTATCTGCAGGGTAAATGGCCAAACCATAGAAGGCCGTCACAAATAAGCTAACATCAACGCTGTGGTGCTGGCATCATAAGATTTGTCTAGAGAAATTGATGGTGGTACCATAGATAAAACATACTCCCGTTTAGTCTATGGTGGTACAGAGATAATCTTGTTGGAACTTAAAATAAGTATTACTCAATGTTCATGTGCAGTTCCGGTCGGCTTGGCACTACTGGAGCTTAAGAAGCTACTGGGAGTGCATCTGTCCCAGGAGACCTCAGGGGATGTAGGAGCTACCGTCAAGAGTCAGGCCAACCAGAACGCTGCCTTGCTGGCAGCATCTTTGTCCAGATGATGGTGGTACATAGATGATCTTCTTGGAGCTCTACACAAATTTTTACTCAAGGTTCATGTCCAGTTTCGGTCGGCGTGGCAGAAACTACTGGGAGTGTATCTGACCCAGGATACATCAGGGGATGTAGGACCTACTGTCAAAACAGTCAGGCCAACAATAGCATAGTGGTGCTGGTCAACATATACACAATCTTCTTAAATCTCAACACAAATTTTACTCAATGTTCATGTCCAGTTCCGGTCGGCGTGGCAGAAACTACTGGGAGTGCATCTGTCCCAGGAGACATCAGGGGATGTAGGACCTACTGTCAAAACAGTCAGGCCAACAATAGCATAGTGGTGCTGGTCAACATATACACAATCTTCTTAAATCTCAACACAAATTTTACTCAATGTTCATGTCCAGTTCCGGTCGGCGTGGCAGAAACTACTGGGAGTGCATCTGTCCCAGGAGACATCAGGGGATGTAGGACCTACTGTCAAAACAGTCAGGCCAACAATAGCATCGTGGTGCTGGTCAACATATACACAATCTTCTTAAATCTCAACACAAATTTTACTCAATGTTCATGTCCAGTTCCGGTCGGCGTGGCAGAAGCTACTGGGAGTGCATCTGTCCCAGGAGACATCAGGGGATGTAGGAGCCACTGTCAACAGTCAGGCCAACCAGAGCGCCGCGGTGTTGGACAGGGACGACGACGCCGCAGAAAAGCGCCGTGGAGCTCAGCGGTTCAACTTCTTCTCTCCCAACCCTCGCATCAACATCTCTAAAAGCCTCATGGTTATATTGCAGGTACTTGTGATAGGTTCCTTTTGTTGGTACTGTAGAGTTTTCAATATACGTTAAAATAGACTGTTTAAACGCATCACCATGCTTAGCGATGAAGAAGCTTTTATTCTGCGCTGTGACCTAATTACGGTCAAAGATCGTTTCGATTAAGAACACAAGGGCAAATCAGTAGTGATGACAGTTATACAGTCAGTTTATCTCGAACGATGTCAGCCTACACCCAAGTTCCTATCAAACGCTTTCATGTTAGGAGACATTTTTCAAAAACTGGTAGTTATATTCAACAATTGAATACTTTAAGAGCTTGAATAGTCATTACGGTATACTTCTTTTTGTAAAAAGTATATTTGGCAAGGAAGGCTTTCAATAATTTTGTGATGTATTTAGAACTTACCTTGTCCCTGTGTGATGAGTATGATACCAGCCATACATATATCACTACTTAGATACAATCCTATGATGTTAGGCCAAAAAAGGGTTTTTCTGTAAAAAAAAAGGTACTTACGTATTATACGGAGGCCACTTATTTTACAGCGTGCTGCGGCGGTTGGGTTAAGTTGGGTTATCATAAATATGTTTGTAGAACTTTCCTAGTTTCGTTATGAATCGAACTATACGAGATGAGTCATAAAAACTTATGATAACCCAACCTAACCTAACCGCCGCAGCGCGCTGTAAAATAAGTGGCCTCCGTATAATACGTAAGTACCAAAAAAAATACGACTGCATTGTAAAAACCAACCTAATTCTAGAATGCTTCCGAAGTAATAGATACTAATTACATATAATGCAAGGGTAGGATGAGCTATGTTTAATCAAACTCAAAAATGTCCTATGGACCTTATAATTGTTGTTTAAACTTAGCCTTCTGTAAATCACAAGAGTGCTATAGGAGGCTATGTACAATCTAACAAAGAAAATAACACTTATCAACTCTTTTTATGTCACAGGGGCGAGAGCAGACCACCACATCTCGCGTAGTCAGCGAGGTCGATCCAACCCCCAAGAGGACGTTTCAGATCCGAAAACCAACGGAGAAGAAGAAGAAGACCAAACAGATGATGAGAAGAGAGAAGAGTGCAGAGTGTTGTCAACTAGAGATTCAACAGCTGCCAAACAAAAACGCAGCGAGGAGTGAACCTTCTTCTCCCGCTGAACATGTGTTATAAGCTGTTCTCTCTGTTACGTGAGAAAGTAGGGACTGTCCAGACCTGGTAGTGATTGAATCACTATAGGTATATGGAGGAAATTGTAAAAGGAAAAGTAAAATTTGAAATATTAGTCTCTCATCGGGACTAAATCCGCAGATCCTTCTATCTATTTAAACCTTGTAAATAGTGCAACAAGAAAGGTTTCGTCGGCTCTAAATAAAAAAAAATCATAAAATGATGCAAATATCCTTCCACCACCTATTATCACCTAATTTGTTAAAAATTCCGAAACACAAAGCTTGTTATAATATAGTACATAATTTATCAGTTTTCTGAAATTATCTAATAAATGTCTGCTTGTTCGTTCAGCCTGCATAGGCCTAATTACATCAATTATATGAGAAATGTAGTCAAACTTAAGTTCTGAAGGAATGGATTTTTAATATTCGCTAAGCTGGCTTTAGTTTGAGGAGTCGGTGGCTCATTCGGTAGCGCCACGGATTCAGGCCCAAGATGTTGTGGGTTTGAATCCGAGTGCCTGCCACTGCTTTCTATCTGTACAGTTAACGTTTACAGCTAACTGTAACCTTACTTTGCCAAAAAATACGCACAGGCCCGATGCCTACCTATACGAACAAATGCAAGGTTAAAAAGCCGCCAACCTTATAAACCAAAAAATATACATGACCTAGGCGGTGGGCGTTTCATAGATTGGCACTTATGATTCCTAGAAATATTCTTTGAATCCCTAACAAGGTCTGGACAGTAATCTACAAACATAGTTGGGCAGCTCAAAGGTGCTTTGGGGACCAAAAAGGAGAGAACTTCTGGGATATTATAAAACCGTATCTTTGAGTCGTCACTAAAAAAGAGATTTTGTGGATCCTTTCTGAAGCAGTCTTATAAGATCTTCTGAAAAAATATTCATAGAATTTTCTTATTGATTTGTTTCAGTATATTGTTAAATTGTAAAATATATTTTTGATCTATTTGCATAATTAACCAAGTTTTGTACTTAAAATAATGTCTTGGGGCAATGTATTTTGTATTTAAAGAGAAACCTAAAAAATAGTTTTCATCTCAAATAATGTTCCTTAAAATTACACTTAGGATTAAATTTGGTACTGCTTTGTTCTGTACACTCAAACGAATAAAAACATACCAAATAATGTTTGGAGAACACCGAATGAAGTATTCTGTGCCCAAAAAGATATTTTTCTCATTTCCTTTTGTATTTGCACTCGAGAATAGTTTCTCATTTGAAATGTTGACTGTTTTACTATGAATGGCCTTGATGTAACATATTGTTGTACTAAAATATGTTAAATCAATAATTACATTTCAAATCAATCCAAAGGACGAACCTATAAAAAAACAATCAAAATATAATTTATAATTCGTTTTGTATTTCATAATCATGGGAAAAACAGTAAATATCTAAATATTGAAACGAAATGCTAACGAAAAAGGGTCCACAATGCTATATGGTTGTTAATTGGTCAATTTAAGTATTTTAAAAGACTGTTTGTCAATGTAAAGATAGTGTATAAGATACTTGAATACGAATTTATTATATATAGTATAAAATTGACAATGTGATATTAAAATAGGAGTCTGTGATGGAAGCGTTATTACTTTTATATGGTTTATAAGTATTCGTAATTTATTGTTTGTTAGAGAAGTATTTGTATCCCTATTAGTACCTATGGCATTTAGAAAATAGTTTAAAGTTCCACTTTGCTCTACTGCTTCACGTTATACGAGCGTGAATTCTTTAAAACTCGAAATGTAGTGTTCATATTCTCTAAGCCTTTAGCTTTTGCCGTTGCCTTCTAAACTAAGAGTTTGTCCTGTAGTATTTATGTTGTAAATTATCAAAAGTTTTAGCTGTATATAAAAGAATAGATATATAATTCATCCAAATGTAATGAATACATAGACAATTAAACGTATAATTACAGCATTTTGCCTCATGGACACGCAACTAATTTTTAAAAATTTTCCATTTTTATTATTTTTTTACTGCAAGTAAGAACATTGAATATGGCGATGATAAGAATAACATACAGAGACTCATGATTTCCATATATACTAGATTGAAAAGTGACTTTTATAAGCCAATTTAATATCATTGTATTCTAAAAATATAAGCTATCGGTTTTCTCGAGTTTAAATTTAATTCAAAGGTTCTTAGTGGGAAAATACTTCTTTTCAATTTTAGAATTTTCCTTAGACTTATTATCCAATATAGAAGATACATTTTTTACGAATAGTGCAATGGTCTAAAAAACACATTACAGTGATTTCTCTTACATGTTCCAACAACGCATACTTGTTCTATAGTGTTAAGTGTTCATCGATGGTTGTTGCTTGTCAGTGTGACTATTTCTGAAATGTTCAAAACTCAATAACGATTTGCTGCGATTGGGACGATATGGATGTAATATGTTGGATGTGAGATGCATTGTTGTCATCTCTGAATGGCCCTGTCACTGAACACAAAACATAGTGTTAGTTTCGGTATAAATATTAGATTAAGGTTGAATTTGTTGTAGCTCAAATACTTATTCATCAGTAATTCTGTTTCTGCTTGTTAAACAAATCGAAGAATTGCTTGAATTTTAGCATTGCTAGCAATATACTCCGTTTACAGTATTTGGGCGGTTTGGAGGGAGACAATATCCAACTCACCCTAACTTTGAACAGCTGATCTGCTAAAATATTTAAAAAAGTGGTAATAGAACTCAGAGACATTTTCCCTTAAACTGCCTAAATTCTGTGAATGGACTATATACGTGGAATGACTGTGAAACAAATAATGAAAACTTAAACGTTTTTAAAATTTATTCAAGCTACGGAAAGATGTTATAGTCGTAAAATTGGTCTTTTACACTAATTATGTATTTTTTATTCTACACCAGCACTTGAGTTAAGCTTTTGATACAAAGAAATAGTAAAATTATTACTATAAATGCAAATGAGATTTCTTAAGAGTACTCGTTTGCATTTTAATTTGTACAAAAATCAGCCTAAACGTATTCATAACGTGTTTAAGATTTTATGTTGTAATAATAGTCTATTTTAAAAACGTCCCATGAACTTTCAATGCAAAATTATTTATAGGTACTTATTCAATTTTGGATATGTATATTTTATCTTACGTGCATTTTAATATGATACACCATTGCAAAAACTGTATTGTATTTGAGCGAACCAGTATTAGTGTACAGTTAGTTTACGTATTTAGAGTTATGCAAGCTGTGTGCATTGAGATGTAAAATTTATTATTACGAACTTCAATGTTCAATTTTAAAGATTTAATTAAATTATATTATTGTAGAATTATTTTCATTATTTAACCCACTTTTCATGTTTTTGCAAAAACCTAACACACAACATGCGCTCCAGTTGGTAAATTATAAGTTTGCTACGACAAAAACGTTGAAAATACTCATGTCAAGGACAAATAATCATTTTTGTATATTTTGTGTGGAATACTAAGTATATTTAGTAGGAATAGTATAATAAAGAATATTGTTTCCAATTAAAGTTAATTTCCAAGTCAGGTAACGTAATAAACAAAGGAAGTTAAACAGCATTTTTTTTTATTATGTATAACTTCTAAAATATCTATCTGAAATAAAATCCTATACTTTTTCTTTCTAATTTTCAAATAATTAATCACAACACAACTAAAAAAGTCATTAATTTCTATTTCTTGATCATGCCTTGTCCAAACCAAATTTAGTCTTTAAAGTAATGATATACAATCGTAGTGTTTGATTAAAATCATGAAACATTAATTACATGACTAAGTTGTTCATGAGTACATTTCGAATCCAGTAATCTAAGTAGATCTATGGACAAGCAGGCAGTGTGTGGTGTTTGTAATTGCTGGGACTCCTGTGGGTAAAGGTAAATTAAGCTTTTTTATTGAGACAAAGCTGAAAATGTGTAATGTTTGCAGGAGTTACTGTTGATAGTAGTGTCTATAGCACAGGAGCAACCAAGTAACAGTGTGAACTTGGTATCCAGAGAGGGGGGGGGGGTGAATTTGTGTCAAGAGGAAGGGGGGTTTACATTCTGGTGGTTGGATAAGTTTATCTAAGGGTTAGTTACAATTATGTATTGGGGTCAGCCATGAGCTACCGATCCTAAGTTGAAGTTAAGTAAAGTTTGTGGATTGTATTATTTTCTATAGTTTTTGTTATCATAACATTTTTATAGACAAAAAAATTAAATAAATATATCACTGAGCTATTAATTGCTGGATGTTATTGTGTGTATTAAATAACTAAAAAGAAGTTTCACTACGAGCACGAATATTACAATAATTGGTATATATAACATATCTTTATAAAGATATATATGAACTAGGTGTTTACAAAAGAATACCGGGATTTTAAAAGTATTGCTTGGGTACCATTCAAGGTAACTAAACATTTTAAATGTCAAATTGAAGCTAAAATAACTAAGTTTTGTTTCCCGTGTAGCAGGGAGGGAACTTTGATCCTGGCATTAGCAAAACAAGTGCGGGGTGATAGGCTGCCATTGTGACTCAAACGCCTGACGTCAGTCGCCAGTACGACGGTTAGCTCAACAGATAGCATGGAGTGTAATCTGTGTCTCGCAGAGTTTATATACATTGCTAAATTAAACTGAATTGAAATCTACTTGATGATACAAAGAAATTGACGCTGGTTCAATGAGTTTCGTGGCACCGTAGTGTTTTGAAAAGACATTCACGTGGCCGGCTAAAAACAAGAGATGACATATTGGAAGAATCCGACAATTCTGCATCAGAAGTCTGAAAACACCGATTACCCAACGAATTATTCAATTGAACTTACCTAAATCGACACTTCATGATGTTAGCCGTAAAAGATAAGAGTCTTTGTGCCTAAAAAGATTCAGCTCAGACATAAGATAAACCCGCCAATCGCTCTATGCGTACAGACTTTGCCAGTTTTACGCTCATATGAAAATCCGGGATTGATGAAAATCTAAATTTTACTAAATTATTGTAAATTGTAACAAATTATGAGAAAAAACTTTATTCTTTTCCCGTCAATTTGACGTTCAAATCGTTTAATTATCTTTAATAGTCCCCGAGTTACGACCGTTTAAAATCCCCGCATTCTTGTATGTATAAACATCCTGTATGTATTACAAACCAATCAGTAGTTTTTGTAATCAAGCAAACATCCCACATTGCTAATCGTATGCTATCTTTGCAAATGTAAAAACATTCACCACTAAAACAATTCCAATCCCAAAATGTTCGGTCATTCTAAATATTAAGGTAAACTTTATTTTACCAATATATACTGTTTAGTTATTTCCAAAAAAATACGTTGAAAACTATATCTTTTTAATTGAGTTTTGATCATAAACATAAACTGTAACCGTATTAAAACTACTGACTACATATTAAACCCATGAACACAAAAATATAATGTTTACAAAGCAAACAAAACAGTTGTTAACAAAAAATAATAGTTAATTAATCATGATTGTTTTGTTTTCCTTATTAAAATAAACATGGTTTGATATTCTAGGAAAAGGATAGAGACCCAAAATGTGTTTAACATAAAAAAGAACGCAATAATTTAACTCCAACCACAAATAAATTATGCATCATTTATAACATTACACTATAATCTGTGAATGTTGACTGGATTTATATTGGTTCATCAGTGTTAAACAAGAATGGATTAGCATCAGTAAAATATTATCATAAATAATCTTAATTATCCTGAAATACATTTAAAAAAGGTCTGGGACTTTTTCTCCACCCTGTATATGAAACTGCCAATTGTATAAAAAAATACTTTTCTCATTGTTATATAAACTGAGGTCTTTTGCATGTTGCCATCTCTTTTAATGAGTATTTTTGTGATATCTTTCGTGTTTATTTGAATAGTTCAGGTGGTTTAGTTACATAAAAACGGAATAAATTGTCATTGCAAGCAGACGCTTGCTCAAAGATTCGTAAAGAAACCCTAAACCTCTCCCGAGAGTCTTTTAATATTTATTACATCTTCGTTCTGTTTGCCAGACATGAGTTGGGAAGCTCTTACATTTCATTCTTCTCAAATATACGAGTTTAAACAATACTATTAGATGTGCCCTTATGAACCATGCCCTCGCGCCTGCACCCAGACTAACGAAAAGGAAGCGTGATCCATGCGCAGGCCCGAGGAGCGGCTCACAAAACTTTACTTAACAAAATGAGAACCATGGATGGAGGCTCAAGAACAACACGCCATTTGAGAGAAACGAGCTGTAATTAACCATTTAAAAGAATAACACAACAACAATAATTAACAATAATACATGAATTAAATACTCTCAATTAAACTTTAAAAAATTTTGATACCCGTTTACCCTACTAACTTACAATTATTTCATTAATCATTTTCAAATAGGCTAAATTTCAAAAATAAATCTTACTAGCTTTTACCTTTCAAAAAAAACTTTTAAATTAACAAATTACAACAATGATATATATAATGACTCTTATAATAAATTCATTTTATCTGGTAACTATAGAAACTTTAGGGGCCCCAAATTAGAATTCAATAGAATATTTAATAAAATTATAAAATTTAAAAAAGATCAACAAGTAGCCTAAAGAATTAAGATTTTAAAAAGAATAACAATTAATAAACTATGTATAGGCCTATAACAATAATAATTTCAAATAGTCCCTTGGGTTGCTTTTTTTTTATAAATAAAATCAAAAAACATAACGACAGTGGGTAACTTGCGGTAGTGCGGTTGGGTTTTGGGCCAGGTCTAGAAGTTCAGCACCGGAGGGGGAACCAAGCAGGGCGGAGAGGGGGCCAAGGTCTACGAGGCAGCCATGAGTTACAAATTTCCTCCGCCAAGGTCGAAACGGTCCAGTGCATAGTCCTCCTCACGGGCCCTGAGTAACAAATCCAGAAACACAGTAGTACCAGGAGAGCTCAAGTCCATATCCGCAAAATTCACTGTCACACACATTTCACTATTTTCATTTAGTTCCAAACATTTCACTGAGCAGGCCTAACATATTTTTTCAGGGAAAAAACTCTAAATTTTTACAAGGTTTGTCTCTCTATCACAGCTCTTTAACAATATAAAACATTTTAAACAATAACAATAATTTAAACAAACAATTAACAGGTGAAACAGTACAAGATCGGTAACATTAATACTTGCGGTAAAGGTGTCAGCAGGCTAGACGGGTATGTGACAGTGATAAATTTCACCAATAGAGAGAAAATATTTAAATTGTCTGGTCCAAAGTGGCCAGAAGAACAAGTTAACAAAAACAATTGACATCTAAACACAGAAAAATACTTTAAAATTGACAAAAAACGTTCCAAACAAAAATTTAGGCCTAACGCAACGACTCATGTATTTTTGCTAATTTCTCCAAAAGTTGTGAACAGAATTTGTTCGGAATGGTCTTAAAAGCTGGGGGAAATGTTCCAGCAGCTTCTCCAGACCATTCCAAACCTTAACTCAAAGGCTGAAACCAGTTGGCCTTTTGGTTACCCAGTTCAAACCTGAATGGAAAGTTGCCAAACTAAAAATTACTGTAACTTTCTTAAAACTTGAGTAAAATGACTCAAACTTTCTGGGGAGCTTTAAGAGCAGTTAATTCAACTTAATTTAACTAGTTTGGCAAGGACAAAGCAAAATAAAAGACTTTAACCTTACTTGACTGGGTAACACAAACTGAACATTTTACAAGACAAAACAACACTAAAATTGTACGGGACACAGAAACAAAAGACTACCAGAAGTAGTAGCCTAAGACAATTACATTTACTGAGCAAAAATTGTAAGCCTAGGCCTACCACAAAACAGTCAGAAGGACCCAAAACTGACTTGGCAGTTTCTCTCAAATAGCGGCCTTCCAACAAACATTTCTCAGTCAATTCTAGGCCTAGCATTTCGGGCAAAGCCCTGAATTATACCAAAACAACAGAGAAAAGGGAAACTAACTATCAAAAGGGTTCCACGACCCCAAGACTAGGTTCCAAACCTAGTGCAACCATGTGCAGCTAACCTAACTATAGAAAAATGTGCAAAAACTCACCCAAAAGGCGCGCGTGGCGCGATAAATTTACACCATTGCGTAGCAGAACAAAAGTAAAGAACAATTAACAAAACTGCTTTGCAAAAAATAAAGCATAGAAACAGATGTTAAAGGATAAATTTGTTCTGAAAATCCTCTGCGAGGCAAACGGCTCTGACGTCGCTGAACCTATGAGTTGCTGGCGGAAAAAGAGTAATAAGAACAAAACCCACAGCCTTGTTCGGGGGGCCGTGGAGTGACAACGAAACACTGA